TAATCAATCTAAATTAAAAGCAACGGTAAAAAGGGGAGTCTTAAGAAGTTTCTTAAAACAATCCAGAGAAACCACATTCCTGATGCTGGTGGGTAGGCCATTCCATAGCTTAGGCGCACTTTACAAAAAAAAAAAAGCACGACCACTATTAGTCTTCAGTTTACAGCGTGGCTGAAACAGCAAGATTGCAGATGAGAAACGAAGACTGCGGGTGAAAGTGGCCAGAGTTACTAGGTCACAAATGTAGTCAGGTGCTAGCCCATGCACTGCTTTGTATTTTTAAAACCAGAGTCTTAAAATCAATACGTGATTTAACAGGAAGCCAGTGAAGTTGCTGAAGTACAGAAGTGATATGATGATGTTAAAACGCGTACAGCAGAATTTTGAAAATACTGTAAACGTCTCAGAGAGCTTGCTGGTAGGCCCCCGAAGAGGGAGTTACAGAAGTCAAAATGTGATGTGATAAAGGCATGAATAAGCCTTTCCACATCAGGCCGTGATAAAAAAAAGGTCTAATCCACGCAATGTTTGTCACGTTAGGTGTGATCAAAACAATAACAAAAACAGAAACCAAAAGATAACGGATTCAAGTTCTGATTTTAATATATTAAAGTTCAAAAACAGTGAATAAAAATCCAAAAATATTAAAGTGCAAAGTAACAAATAAACAACAAAACAAGAAACTAAAACAGATAAACATGAACAAGACTATAGCGAGAAACACGGTGAGATCAGAAACAACAACTAGGAAAAACAGACTTATAGGGTACAAGAAAGACAAACGGCGCGATGACGAACAGTGGTTGAATGACTGAATATATAGTCCGGGTAATCACGGAGAATGGAGACAGCTGTGGTAGTAAATCAATGTAAATGACAGAACGGGTGTGTGCGCGAAAGAATGTATGGAAATGTAGTCTTTATGGGCGCTGTAGTTTCACTCTGTCCATTGAACTACAGGGCCCTCAGGTGGTCACTGACAGATGTGACAATGTTACGTAGGTGAAAGAAGGCTATTTTAGTCAAGTGTTTGAAATGTGAGTTAAAACTAAGCTGTGCATCAAAAAGCACCCCAAAGATTGTGCAACTGTGTAGAGGGCGACACTTAAAGATCACCAACAGACAGTTTAAGATTATTACACTGGTTAATACTGGTAGGAGTGCCAATTAATAGAACCTCTGTTTTAGAACTGTTTAATTTGAGGAAATTTTGATTCATCCAGGCTTTAACTTCAAGTTAACAGGCAGATAAAACTGACGTGGCAGAGGTGAGATCACCCAAATTCACAGAAATGAAGGAAATCACAGAAATTAAGGAATTTTTAGTTTGCTCAGATTGTAGTTCTGCTCTTAAGCATTGAAGCAAAACACTCAGACTGTAGGCAATATTTAGTTATTGATATATTACAAGAGTTGTATAAATTAAAAGGAGTGAGTAAAGGTAATGTCCACGTGGGTGCCAGCTCATGCGGCATTAAAAGGAAATGAAGCAGCAGATAAAATGGCAAAGCAAGCTGGAAGATAATATAGGTATGGAAGTGACTTACAGTTGAAGTAAAGTTAAAGCAATTATAAGGAAACAAATAATGGGGAAATGGCAGTACCAATGGGAAGCAGGAAAGAATGGAAAGCAAATGTATAATATCTAGCCACAAGTGGGTAAAGGGAGGCACTCGAGAGGAAAAAGGAAGGAGGAGAATATATAATCAGTTCAATGAAGTTAATGGCAAAGCACAGAACAGGTCTATGTGAGTGCGGGTAAAATGAATCTGTTGAACATGTGATTATGCATTGTGAGCGGTAAAATGAAGAAAGAAGAGAGTTATTGGAAAAAGTCAAGAAAGAAAGAGATTATGAGTTTACATTGAAATTTTTATTAAATCCTGAGGTATAGAGACACAAGTACACTGCATTGTTTAGATGTTTAAAAGACACAGGACTGATTAATAAGATATGATTATTAGAATTATTTGAATGTAAATTTATTAAGTTTAAGGTAGGGATAGAGGGAGTTATTTTCTGATCCTGACATAGTGGGAGGAGAAGTCAGAAGAGCTGGAGAAGCAGCTCTGGCGGATGCGAAGTCTCTCACTGGGTTAGGGTAAGGGATTATTATGGGAAAAGAGTAGATTCTGAATCAGGTTACAGGAAGGTGACGGTAATGTACAAGAACTTGTGCGATCCGCCAAATAAGAACGAAAGAAGAAGAAAAGTCCGTGGCTGTTTCTCAATAGAGTGGAGGAACTATGACGTCACTTTGTAGGCTAATTGGCTGCTTGCATAAAACTGGTTCCCTCATGAAAATCCCTATAGAATTTTCCCATAGGCTTTTCAAAAAGTGCAAATAATAAGCTCTGTGTTCAAACACTGTTCATTACATTTACACGTTTTGTCCAGCTGGATAATCCTCACACGAAAATACAACATTTAGCACTTTTGGATCTTAAATTCAAACGCAAGAACTGAAAGCTAACATTAGGCTATATAAACGGACTACAGTGCCCTCGGGGCGCTCGCTTGTGACGTCAGCACCACCCTGCTACAGACAACTTATCAAGCTTATTTTTAGAAAAAAATGTCCATGACAGAGTTTATCTTTCTGTTTATTATATTATAATCCACGGTAAATATTATAAACAAATAAATACGCAAAAACACAGACCTATGTGCCTTTTAGATCGTTTTTACATGGGAAATGCATTGTTTTGCTTTACGGTTCTAAAAGTTTTAAAATGGTGTGTATAAATCTGCCTACATAGTATTATCATAAGACATATTTAAATAAGTGTATCGCTCACGTGCACACAGCCTGCTTTCCTTAACAGACGACAGAAATGAGGCGTGAGGGACAAGTCTATCAAATGCCTGAGCTCAGAGCAACATTCAATTTTCCTTTTTGTCATGAAGTACAGTGAAAAGCAGCCCATACAGTCACGTCTGCTATACATTTTAAGAAGAAATGTAAATATTGCAGTTATTACAGAGTTAAATGTGTTCAGATGAAGAAAAAAAGATGAAAAAGTCTCTTGATTACGTTAAAATGACTTAAAATGAGTTAACATGCATGTATTTCTACACATTTATTCACGCATTTGCATTACTGAGAGCAGGAAAGAGACAGGCTGCACTGGTGAGCAGTATCTTCATAATATGGTTGATTAAAATAAATGATCAACAAATGAATCTGTCTCGACAGCCTTTACAAGTAAATGCATTACACACAATCTGAATTCCCAATTAGAAAAATACTACATACTATAAAATACTGTTCATGAAAATACCTAAATAACAGACAAATTTAAATGCCCAACACAAGCGAGCTGCGCTCCAGACCAGATCAGTTCGATGACGTATAACGTCTCCGACACCGCCTGTTGTCCTGTTTAGAAACTTGATATCAACCGTCTTTTTAAAGAAGCATAACCGATTTAAAAATTCAAAAGTGTGCTGTAACTGATGTGTTTTATGTCGTAGAATAAAACTTCAAAGTATCTTGAGTTTGTGTAAGTCACGAACCTTATTTAAGCGATTTTACTGAAATCTCATTGAAAAAAAAACATTGACTTTGGGACGAGAGAATAGGAAGTGCTAAAATGCTAACTCTCTTCTGGGTTTTTGCATAAAAATTGACGTCATAGTTCCTCCACTCTATTGAGTGGAGGAACTATGACGTCGCCTTGTAGGCGAATCGGCTGCTAGCATAAAACTGGTTCCCTCAATAAAATCTTAAATGCATATGCAAGAACTGAAAAGCTAACATTAGGCTATAAACAGACTACAGTGCCCTCGGGGCGCTCGCCTGTGACGTCAGCACCACCCTGCTACAGACAACTTATCAAGCTTATTTTTTTAGAAATATGCTCCACGACAAAGAGTTAATCTTTCTGTTTATTATATTATAATCCACGCTATATATTATAAACAAATAAATACGCAAAAACACAGACCTACGTGCATTTTGTATTGTTTTTACAGAGGAAATACATTGTTTGGCTGTTTTAACTGTTTTAGAAGTTTTAAAACTGTATGCATAAATGTGCCTACATAGTATTATCATAAGACATTTAAATAAGTGTATCGCTCGCGTGCACACAGCCTGCTTACCTAACAGACGACAGAAATGAGGCGTGAGGGACAAGTCTATCAAATGCCTGCAAGTTCCAACATGGATCGAGAGCAACATTCAATATTTTTTTCATTTCACAAGTACAATGAAAAGCAGCCCATACAGTCACATCTGCTATATATTTTATGGAGGAGTGTAAAAATTGCAGTTAAATGTGAGTTAAATGTGTTCAGATGAAGAAAAACCAGACGATAAATCTATTTTTCACATTAAAATAACAGTTAACATGAATGTATTTTTACACATTTAATCACACATCCGGGAAGTTTCACGCATCCTCTGTACTTGTATACTTTTTGTATTTAAGCTGTCACCATTGAGGAGAACAGTAGCTGTTTTACTTGGACTCTGACTAGATTTTAATGTTAGTTTCTCTTTGTTTGCCAAAAAATGTATTGTATAAAGAGAGCAGTTGTGCATTGGATAATTGACGCTGTGGTGGTTTTGTCACTGGTCAAATCAGTAAAATTGGTTTTGACCTATTAAGTTTAAATAAGGTTGTATCACAAAAGGAGCACTGTGTTAAGAAAATGGAGCTCACCAATACTTTTATCAGATCATAAAACACATTGAGCATCTAAAACACTTGAAACCCACAGACATAAGACACAGACGTTTTTTTTTTCTCCCCACTGTGCATGCTGAGAGCTATGGATAAATGTCGTATGATTGTCTTAACATGCACTGCAGCAAAAAAAAAAAACAAAAAAAAAAATCTCTAACCACTGTTGAGATAGATACGCTGATTATTGATGTCTGTGTCTCTATAATGATTCAGATGCTCAATGTATTTTAAAATAACACCACAGCTGAAATCCATTCTCTTGAAAAACACTGAATTTTCCTTCTTATATGATAAACCATCATTTAAACCAGGGGTGTCCAAACTTTTTGCAAAGAGGGCCAAATTTGATAAAGTGAAGATGCACGGGGGCCAATAGTTCCTTCTGATATTTTTTTCACCACAAAAGTTACATTAAAATACACACTGTTATAAAACAATTTTTATTGTCACAATTACCTTTATTTTTCAAATGGCAATATAACCAAATATAAGCCACTCAGGCAGGCATGAACAACTTTAAACACATTTCTGCCTTTCATTCATATCTGGAGAGTCAGATAAAATTTAACAAACTGTAAAGAATACCTTACATTTCCATATTTGCCTCATGAACATTTTAATCAGTCGTTTTAAGTAATGCAAAGTGGTCTGTTATCATTAAATTTCAAAACAAGTGAATTTTGCTCTTGCCTTTTACAAGATCTTTCAGGAAGCCAACTACCTTATAAATCCCACAACTGGGAAAGTCACTTGCCACCACAAGAAATAAACTCAGATGTACAGTAAATATAGTAAACTATGCTTGCTTTAGTTTGCTTTAGTGCATTGCATTAATGAGATTTAGGCTTTTTGCTGTGTGAACACGTGATATTAATGAGAAGGGTGATACTGAGATCTAGATTTTAGTAAAGAGACCAGGTCCGGCTTGATGGCAGTGGTTGAAATGCGTAAAATGTCACGCAAGTGGGAGTCACTCATCTTTGACCTCAATCGGTTCTTGTTTAAGTTCATGACTGAGAATGTTTGCTCACACAAATATGTGGAGCCGAATAAGCTCAGCATTTTCTTAGCAAATGATCGCATTTCAGGAAACCTGCCTTTGTCTAGCTGCCGGTAAAAGTCAACAAGAGAACACTGCTGGTGTTTTCCGCGGCACTCATAGTCACACTGCAGCTCAATGAGCTCCAACTGAAGCCGTGGAGGAGCATTATCAGGGTCCGCTGATAATGGAGAAGAGAAAAGCAGCATGTCCTTTTCAATTACTGCAAAGTCTTGAAAGCGTTTGTTAAATTCCACAGAAAGAGATGCGATGGCTGTCACATAACCCTTCATTTGCACATCGATATTGTCCTGTGGGAAACTGTCAATGACCTCTTTCAAAGCTGGGAAGTGCGCGGTGCAGGGCTCTGTTAGGGACAAGTGTCTTTGGAAAAGTTGCAGTTTGATTCCAAAGGCCTTGATGTGAGCGTATAGCTGGCTTACCACTGCATCTTTTCCTTGAAGATTGACATTTAGCTCATTCAGATGCTTCGTTATGTCAACCAAAAAAGCCAGATTTGCCAGCCATACAGGATCGGACAGTTGTTTCATTGGTTGACCCTTCTCGTCCAAAAAATGTCTTATTTCCTCTTTGAGAGAGAAAAATCGCTGCAGTGCGGACCCCCGACTTAGCCACCTCACATCATTGTAATATATTAAGTCACCATATTCAGCTTGGATGTCACGCAAAAACTGCTGAAACTGTCTGTGGTATAGAGCTTTTGAGCGAATAGAGTTGATTACCTTTGCCACTGGTTTCATAACATCGTCAAATTTCAGATGTTTGGCGCAGAGAGCCTGCTGGTGAATGATACAGTGAAGTTTAATAGCGTTACCTGCTTCTTCGCTGACTTTATTGCAGATCAGAGTGGATAATCCGCTTCGCTCACCAGCCATAGCAGGTGCGCCATCGGTAATGATCCCAGAAACTTTACTCCATGGCAGTTTCATATCATCGACAGCTTCACAAACAGAAACAAATAAATCCGTTCCTCTGGTTAGCCCTTTAAGGCTTTTTAGGTCAAGCAGCTCCTCTGACACGTTCATGTTGTCGTCAACTCCTCTTAAAAAAATCAGCAGTTGTGCAGTGTCAGATACATCAGTGCTTTCATCGCAGGCTAATGAGAAATAATCAAAAGCCACTCCTCTGTCCCCTAGCTGTCTCAGAATATCTGATGATAAGTCCTCAACTCTCCGTGCCACCGTGTTTCGTGCCAGGCAAACATTCATGAATTCTTGCTTTTTCTCGGGGCAAATGTTCTCCACCATTTTCATAATACAGTCTTTGACAAACGTACCTTCAGTTAAAGGTTTGCCATGTTTAGCAATTAACATGGCCACTTCGTAGCTAGCTTTGGTGATGCTCTCGTTTGACTCACAGGCCCGCGTGAAGAATCGCTGTTGTGATGCTAGAGCAGCTTGAAGTTGTTTCACTTTTTCAGCGCGCTCACTCCCGGTTAGCTTGTCGTATATTTTAGCATGTCTAGTTTCGTAATGCCGCTTAACGTTGAAATCCTTAAACAAGGCAACCGTCTCTTTACAAATTAGACAAACACAATTGCCTCGATTTTCAGTAAAGAAGTATTCTAATTCCCACCGCTCCTGAAAGCGCCGGCCCTCACTGTCAACTTTTCTCTTTTTTTTTTGCGGTCGCCATGGCAGTAATAAGCGGAGAAAAGTTCCCGCCACAGGTGCAGAGGCAAATAGCATAGAATGGTGCTGACATCTAGTGGTAAAAGGAGGAATTACATTTTTAACTTCTATGGTTTATTTTAACAGAGCTAGCGAGCCATAAATAACGCATTATGAGATAGAATCTGCGGGCCGTATGAAATCTGACTGCGGGCCATGATTGGCCCGCGGGCCGGACTTTGGACATGTCTGATTTAAACGTAATTTCTTGAATTGTAACTTTTTTCAAGAGTTAGAATCAATTCAGGATCAATCAACTTGATCACATGTGCTCTCTTTATACTTGTCATTGCAAGTAAAGAAAATTAACATTAGAAATTGAGTCCAAGTAAATCAACCACTTTTCTCCATGATAGTGACATTAGGCAAAAAAAAAAAAACATGTTTTTTTTGTAATATGTAAATAACTAAAACGGTTAATTCTCAATAAATCTTATATGGACTTTTGTGAACATCTGACAGAGAAATAAAGTCAATCAGGTAACCAATGAGCGAAGCTGCTGCTGCTTCTCTTCTGTTTCTGCTTATTAACAGCAGGTGTTCATCATCAGTGCTCAATCAACACTTAATTAACCCCATCATTGTCTCATTAACTTTAACTCTGCTGCTGAGTAAATTTTACTCTGAAGATTTTACTGTCTGTATAGTTTTATTTTTGCATGAAGAAAACTGTATACATACACATGTATATAATAAAGAAAACAGTATGGATTTGCATAGCTTTATTTACATTTATATTAAGAGAATTTCCGCCTTATTCTGTTTATTCTGTAGTTAATTCAATAGTAACTAGCATCTATTTAGATATTAGTAGGCAGAAATTAGATACTAGTACATATTAAATAGATACTGATACCAATTCATTAGATACTAGTAACTATTACAGTTTTTCTCAGTGGCTTTGGTGCATTTCTCACAACACTATTTACATTTGCACAAAAGTTAATGCATTTATCAAAACAATTAGTCATTTGTGCACATCCTAGTAGCAGTTTCTCATTCTTTCTAACAAATTGCAAATGCTTTTTTACATGCATAAATTGCTTTCATCTGCTATTTTATATAACATCATTTGCTTTTGTCATGTCAGTCAAAATTAACTAAACTTGAGAATGCTGAATAGTCATTCCATGTAAAACTAGTAGTCCTCATTTCTTTACTTGAGTCATTACATACACAAATGTTGAACTAGTCAAAATCTGTCAAGCTAATTTTGTTAAAGAAATTAAAATCTTTATTTTCCTGAAAATGCCTTCTAAATTGAACAATTTAATGAATGATTTACAGACTTATGTATGTCGTAGGTTCAGTTCTGATATATGATATATGAAATATATGAAGGTAAATCATATAAATAAGGGTGTATTTATTCTTTTGCACAATGCTGTCAATAAATTTGAATTAGAGAAATTTCAGTGAAATGTGAAACATTCATATTTAGTGTCTTGATACCTCACTAAATGCAGTGATGTCTAACTTTACTGTAGTTTTCAAATGGCTGTGCAAATAGTTTATAGTGCTGTCTTGAGCATTTTCAGGAAGTGTCACCAAAATCTGACTTTTTTGTATTGAAAAAATGTCCAGAGTAAACTGTTGTAATGAAAACATGACAAAGCCATTTGACTATCTTGTTCATAAACAATGGTGCCAGGACTTTTCATCTTGATGACACTCACACTTTCATTGACATGAATACTTGTTTTTGAAGAATGAGCTCTCCATTTTGAGCAAGTGGCATGCTTTTGCAGGTTATCAGCTAGGTTTTGTAGTTTGTTCTAATTGTTTTGAGAAATGCACTAACTGTTGTGTAGAAATCCACTAGTGTTGTGAGAAATGCATCAAAGCGACTGATAAAAACTGTAAAGTTGTGCACAGCTCTCCCAAAGAAAGTTTATGTTTGTTGTAATTTATTCTTTTGCTCAATACTGTGAATTAATGAGAATTGCAAAGAGCAAATACAGTAAAAATATGAAACATACATCAGTGTCTTGTTCACAGATACCTCACTAAATGCAGTGATGTCTAACTTTACTCTAGTTTTCAAATGGCTGTGCAAATAGTATATAGTGCTGTCTTGAGCATTTTCAGGAAGTGTCATCAAAATCAGACTTTTTTGCATTGAAAAAGATTTATAGAGTAAACTGTCATTATGAAAACATGACAAAGCCATTTGACTATCTTGTTCATAAACATTGGTGTCAGGACTTTTCATCTTGCTGACACTGACAGTTTCATTGACATCAATACTTACTTTTGAGGAATGAGCTGTCCATTTTGAGCAAGTGGCATGCTTTTGCAGGTTGTACTACTTGTTTTGAGAAATGCATTAACTGTTGTGCAAATGTAAATAGTGATGTGAGAAATGGCCCAAAGCCACTGAGAAAAACTGTAAATAGATTAAGGGTGTAACGATTTATCGTTGTACGATTTATTGCGATGCAAAAATGTCTCAATATGCATCGTGGCGTTATGACGATTTGATTACGATATGACGTCCGTTTTCTCTTATTAGTTGAGCTGTTTGCAGCTGAGTTACGTTCCACCTGCTGTCGCACGTGAGTTCAGATTGCAGCAGCAGTAATGTTAGCAGACCAAGATGAGTGGAGTTGAAATAGAGGATGGCCCATCCTCTCAAAATCAGACGTCTGGCAACATTTTGGTTGTAGAGTCATTGCTTTAGACTCGTCCGTTTTTTGACATGCGTACTGGGTCAAACATAGCCTAAGTTTTAAAGTCTTCACAGTGATTTACTTTGCACAGCGACATGGATACCTCCTAATGGTGTTGAAAGAGTCACATACTGTATTTATAAGGTACAATTCACCCTAAAATATCATTCTGTCTCCATATAATGATGTATTGGCAGCCGCAAAATCACACATGACGTGAGCTGACCGTGAGCTGTTACTACAGAGAGTTACTACAGAGTGAAAAGAACCTGCAGGTTGTGACTAACAGGTAATAAAGTAGTGAACAACATTCAGTTTGTGGAACAGAGTGATCGTTCAGGAGTCGCGTGGGAAGTATGAACAGCACTTAGCAGTGGAAATGAAACCGAAAGCATGCACATTATTTAAACAATCATATCACATTTTAGAGTTATGATTACGACAAGCATTAACCCTTTTGAGTACAGAGGTACACAAAAATGCACGTCAACATGATACACTTGATAGCGCCGACATCAGCGACGCCGAAGAAATAGTAAACCTGCCTAAACTGCTGAAAAGAGCCACGACTGTCCTGTGTAATGAAAAGACGGCCCTGTCATTCATCATGCCCAACATGAAGACAGCCATCCATAAAAACCTCTCAGACGGATACACATCAGTTCGGGATTATTTTATAGAACTGCTGATTACCTGGAAATGTAGATTGCACACAAAAAACACAAGTGACCAAGCAAAGTCTTAAGCTCTTACTGTTAAATTCAATTGAATTAAATAATTTCAATAATATTTTATAAGAAGTTTTTAAATCGTTTTATTTTCCAGAGACAGTCCTGTTTAATTTATTTTCTTAAAGAAGGTTGTTTAACAAGTTGAAACAAAAGAAATACATAAAAAATAGTTTACTTTAAAAATTTGCATTTCAGTTTAATTTAAAATTTTTATTCCAAATATCGCGATACATATCGAATTGTGAACGTTATATCGTAGTACACATTGTATCGTGAGCTGAGTGTATCGTTACACCCCTAAAATAGATACTAGTAGTTATTCATTAGTAGGGATGGCTGACATGAAACTGATGTTTCGACACAGTGTCGAGATCCCGAAGCGCAAGTGTTTCAAAACACTGCACCGAAGCATGATCCGAAGCACTCAAGTCACGTGACTAAAGTGTTTCGAAACACCTAGTCACGTGACTAAAGCGATTCAAAGCATCGATAAGCTTAGAAACGTTTCGAGACCTGGCGAATCGTCATTTGACTGCCAAGGTCTCTGTTCAATCTCTGTCTCATATGGCTTAGAGGACTGTGTGTTTGCTTAATGATTCTATGCTTTCCATGATGTTTTGGGTTCGAATGCCAACTTGTACAAATACTCCGAAATCATGGTTTTATGTATTTTAATCATGTTTCTGTTTTGTGTAGCCTAAATAGGATACAGCTACAGTTATGCCATCAGTTTAGCATAATTTTTGTAACACTGTTAAACAATAATAAACATTTTTACAGTATGGTTGGGTTTAGGGTTAGGGTAGACATTAATAAAATACAATAAATGGGACATTTAATGAATAATATAAATAATTCTTGATAACTTCAGGCCACCGTTTTTGATCTAGCAACAACCCTGTTTTAAGACAAAAACAAGACATATTTATTCACAAATTGTTTATTCGGATATCAGACCAATGTTGAAACAAAACGATACAAGAGCAAATCATTACCAACTGGTATTAAAGCATTTCAAAACAGCTGCGACAGACTGGCTTCGAAACCTACACAGCAAATTTTAGACAGTAGATTTAACTACCTTAGAGTTAAAATTAACACTCCCTCAGAGTTTATATGGGAACCACTATAAGTGTTAAAAATAACACTTTTGAAAGTGTTAACATTGTCAACACCAAGAGGGTGTTAATTAGCAAACTCTTATTGTATAAAATATCTGTTAAATTTCCGAAAAAATACCAGCAGCTGTGGTTGCCAGAAGCTTTCTGTGAAAAACATGGAAGTTTTATAGAACTGTATAAATTTACAAAAAATAACCATATTTCATGAACTAATACAATGTTCAGTTTACAAAATCATAACTTAGTGCAAAAAAATGTGAAGTCTTTAGATGCAACAATGTTTTCATGTGTAATTGCAATTAGCAAACAGATTTTGACTGCATTAGTAACTACACAGTTACCTTTAAACAAAAGAAGATGCAGCATAACATCAAATACTCTCAGTTCATCTTGGACTTGAACAGAGACGCTATTATCCTCCACAATGGTAACACAAAAACCGTTTTGCTGTTTTTCTTTTTTTTTTTTTTTTTCATTTTTAGATTTTACGGAAAAATACCAGCAGCTGTGGTTGCCAGTAATCTGCTGTTTTTAACATTCATAAATTCAGTTTACAGAATATTTCTGTTAAAAGCACATTCAACAGTCTGTATTTTTTATCGAACTCATACTGCAAATTTTAGATTTAGTAGATTTAACTACCTTAGAGTTAAAATTAACACTCCCTCAGTGTTTATTTGGGAACCACTATAAGTGTTAAAATAACACTTTTGAAAGTGTTAAAATTTTTAACACCCAGAGTGTTAATTAGCAAACTCTTATTGTGTAAAATATCTGTTAAATGTATGTCAAAATACTGGCAGCAGTGGTT